AAATCAGTGACTAAACAATTTTATAATAATTTATTCAATGATGGAATGATGGAATACTTGAAACAAAACATGATATATACATGATAGGAGAACGAATCAGTTATTGATATCTCCATATGATTGTAAAAAAAACATGTTGATAATCATGTTGAAACTATTGGCATAAAAAGAAAATTTATTTTTTTCCTACCCTACCTTACATGCTATTTATGAATAAAGTTATCCAGTGATCAAACGATTTATATGTTTATGTAGCAATTTCCTTCTGAATATGTTATCAGTATTCATGTACGGTTTTTTGTACATAATAGGAATTCAAATAATCGAAAAATTATATAAAGCACGATGGATTCTTCATCTTGTTTCGGGTAAGTTCAGACATAGATATTTATGTAAAAGTACCTCATTAAATATAATTAGTAACAATTCTTAAACAAAATAGGTGCAAGACCACTAAACCACTAAATGTCAATTAGATCATTGAAGCTGTGCTTAGAGCGTAAAATCGTTTTCATGACCAAAGCGCCTCATGATGAAATACAAGATTTTCATGAGTTTGTACATTGTGGGATACCGTACAATGTATCGATGGAGATAAAGAACATGTAATTAGGTCATGCTGGAAATACGTGCCCCATTCGAATACAGTATTTAAAAATGAGACAAAACCGAAATGAATTCTTCCTTCAAGTCACAACTAAGCTAGGGAATCGAAGATATCGTTCAGAAAAATGTTGTAAGTTTCACAAAACCTAAAGGAAGAAACGGAAATCATTCAGGAAAACAACGGAAGGGTGATTTATTAAAAAGAAGAAGAATTTCTGAGCCCCAACAAGTACCAATTATATTATGTAGCAAATGTCTTCCTTGAAATATGCATGAGTATTCGTTTGAGGGTGGAAAATATTTTGACGTCCAGCATAGTGAGTACCAATTAAACCATATTGATGGTGTGGCGCCAAAACGGTTTGAAGATCATATCTACCCAGACAGTATTTTTGATAAACAAGGAATATCTGACGCAGATTCGACTGGTGCAGCGATTGTAGTATACTCACAGATGAAGAATTATTCGAACATAAAACAACTGTTGCGCAACAACAAAGTTAATATTTTTCGGCATAAACTTTAAAACAATGCTACTGTACAGATTTAAAGTTTATAGAAATACCAGAACTATCATAAAAAAAGTACAGTTATTTGTAAAAACCTATCTACATAAAATAGCTTTAAGTCCATTAACGAAAGATCATAACCACATAACAATCCATGACCATGAATAATGATCAGTCATAACTGTAAACGGGTTACCTGGAAGTAGTCATTTGAACATTATTAACAATCAGTCTATACAGATTTTATGTGTAGGTAATAAAACTGTATCTGAACTATATAGTATTCAATTGCTGGCATAATAATTCAATGAAGGATAGTTAGATTTTTAAAATACTTTACATAATACAATGTTTAAGCTTAAATAGACTGTTAGTTAATGCTGTCAATCAGTACATTGAGTGACAAGGCCAACATGAATTTATTTCTGATATCAATCAGAAATTCAGCAAACAATCTGTTAATGCAACAATTTGATTGATTCAGTGATTTTTCTACTACTACTACTACTGGATTTATACAAATCAATACAGTTTTTAAGTGAAGTGTTTGCCTTTTATAGATATTGATTCATCTAATAGAAAACTGGCAGAATATTCAAGTAAGTAAATTCTTTACCGAATTCTTTATCGATTGCATGAAATAAATAAATGAACAGTTATTTGAATTTCATAATAAAAATGTTTCACAACTACCATTTTACATATTTGTAACTAAAATAAGGTTTATAATCTATTTTATTTCCATCCATATTGATTCTACGTTTTTGTCGATAAACTAAAATCCAACAGCAAATAAAGTAAACGGAATAAATCCTTAGATTAGGATGATTCGAGAGTCAGAAAGAGATAAAGTTTGAAAGAGAGGCAAATGAATTCATCAAGTTAACTTTGTATATGCTATTTCTGGTATATTTGTATCGTTTAGGTTTCTTATGGGATCTCATATGTTTCAACAATGATAAACTGGGATTTATTAATAACATTACCAAAATGATGATTGAAAGAAAAGTAGTAGAAAAAACATTATGGTATTGAAGTTTCAGCGGACGTCAAGATAAAATAAATTCATGGATTTATATCATTTCACAAAATTTCGTAGCTTCATTTCATGGTCACACAACTTAACGTTTAAAATTTCTGAAGAACTAGATTGAATTTCCACACACCGATTGCCAGTATTCAATTGTTATTGTATTTTGTTATGTTTATAATGTCTTTCGAAGTTTACAGTGATTAATTAGGAAAATATACTAATGAAAGTTTATCATCATTAAAACTGAGTTAACTGGTTTTTAACTTTTATCAGCTAAATTTGATAACGCCATGAACAATGAGAGACGCGTAAGGAAGAATGCTATTGGTAAGTCTTAAGCATATCTGACTTATTATTCCATGAATGAAAATTAGTGTTATTATTTGACGAATATCATCTATTATGAGCATAAATCCTAATTACATGATAATCAAATTGTCAATATCATTTTAATTGAAGTTATTAGATAGAAATGCCTTAATGTTTGAAACAAAACTATCATACCAAAATTATTGCTTTCAAGTCGTCAATTAATAAACCATATAATGCTACACTGTGAACGATTTCCAAGCTTACTTCATACTTCGATAATTTTTAGGGTGAAATGACATTTTACACATGTGAAAATTTGTATATTTGTTTATGTTCTAGTTAAGTTTAGAAAATTCATTTGAATTTTAGAACTAGAAATTTGAAACATTCGTGTAAAACGTTTTTCAACATCCAAGAGTTTTTTCACACAGATTCGACTGTTCGACTCATTCATATCAAAGAAAGCTACGCTGTCAGTTACTTCAGTTACTTTAAATGTAGTCGATACCAAAAACTCAGGAAATGACAACAATAAATGCATCAATCTTTTGTCTATAATCTTTATAATGACTTTTTATTACACCGAAGCAACTAGATACATTCATATTTCTTTCACATGTTATTAGTGCAAATTCTTCCCTAATAAAACGAACTTAATTCATAACAAGTTTAATACCTAAGTCAAACATCGTTTTTCACTTATCAAATGTAGATTATACAAAATTAGAAGAAAAGTCTGGGAAAAAATGGGATGATCGAAAAGCATTCGACGTTGCAGTCTGTATGTTCCATAAATTCTGCGTTAATTCTGTAATCCACTTAAACAACAACAAAAAACGAAATCTCAACACCATTTGCATAAAATAGTTAATAATAATAATAATAATAAATAAAACTTCATTCAGTATTACGTGTTTCTTACAATTCGGAATTTCAACCATGGAATATTTAAGCTAGTTTCATTTTCAATACACATCGAATCGTAATTTTTTGTATTGTGTAAAGCAATCGATCATAAACCTTTTATATACGCACCGAAATACAGTTAATGATATGATTGACCGACTAAAACAAACATTAGAAGTAACATAAAGGTTAATTTGTTACTTTATACATACAGATATTTATATGTATATATATATATATATGTATATATACATATGTATGTATATATATATATATATATGCAAAGAAACACTCGGCTCATACATTCAAGAAGGTCGTCTTTCCAAAAAATAAGGTTTATTATCCAACTTAAAAACGAAAATAAATCATATATATTTTTTCTTTGAGTTAAAATGTTTTTACAATCGTCTTTCAAAATTTCATTATTGGTTCCATGTTTCAATAAAATGACATTCATCGATATTTGTGACACATTCATGAATGGCGATCGGAAATTCGTCATAAATATTCTCTACATATTTTGTACGCACCTTCAATAGGATATGTCAGTAGATCGTGCAGTGCAAATTGCAATCAGTTGAATATACATTCACAAATTCAGTCTAACACTGATTAATAATACTGTTTTTCCTCTATACAGTCAGATATTTGAATTCTTTAAGTCCGAGAGACAAGCAAGGTAAGTGCTTCACAAATGTTTTGAGAAGATAGGTTCATCATTCATACTTTGATCAGATATTAGCAGTTCATTTCTGATAATAAGCTGAAAAAGTTCAATTCAGTACTGTATCGAAAAAATATTCAGTGAAATTTACATGAAACTAATATTCATTGCATGTTCAACACCTCCGTATTAGTTTACCAATCTTATTATGAAGTACATTTCATTGTTAAACAAACAGATATTGCTAAAAGATTGGCATGTTATACAGTGAAAATGAAACTACATTTCATGAAACCAAGCATCAATTTATCAGAAAGCAGTCAAAGAGAAAATTATATATATATATATATACATATTTTTATATACATAGGGAAGAATTAGTTTTTATTCATTTTCACTTAATAAATTACTTCATCAGAAAATGGCCGACTAATTAACATTAAAATATAAATAATGTTATTCACAAGTAGAAAGTAGTGATAATTTTTGAATAGCAGCAGTGGTAGTTGTAGTAATATTGCACACTACAATAAAATTTCCATGAGTAACAGGTAATCGATTAGGTTAAATCAAAATTACTCCCTTTCCTTAATGCAAACTAATCATGGTTTTACAAAGAGTACCATATAGTAGTAGCATAATAACTGAATGTAATAGATTTGATCAAAAAATTCTTAAAATGCAAAAATCATCTGTACTGAATACCCACTAATTAGCATGTTAACCCTCATCATGAATATTTTGAATGGTCGAATTTCTATAGTTTTTCAGGAATCAAAACACATTTAGTGCATGTTTCCATTGCTTGTACAATAAGTGCGAGAATGTATAAAGTGTTAGCTTGTAGATTGTTCCCATATATTTTATGGGTATAGTAAATATTTCTTTCTAGTGAATTGATGTACTTTCTGTTTGTCACATTGGAAAACATTTTTTCTCGACTAAATATCGGTAATTCATAAAAAAAATTATGATATTTTTGATAATATTAACAATCAGATCTAACTTTTATTCCCTTAAAGGAAATATAGAATTTGCAAAGAATAATATGAAACAATTGCAATTGGAATATGATAATTCTAAATGTATGTCAAACTAAAAACGCTTTAAATGAATAATTTTCTGTGACAATGTAATAAGACTAGTGAAATTATAAACCTTCTTGTATAATTAACCTTTTAAACTGAGAATTAGGATTATTTCAAGAGTAAATTTATTTTGTGGCGAATTTTTCTACTAAGTAAATGACTAAAAGTTATTGGTCTGATTGGTCTGATACTCTATGCTTCAACCAATTTATTTACAAGGAATAAGTATTTGTAATCATTTCATCATGAAACTTTATATTAATTAAACGATTACTTCAAACTATTGTCGACTAAATGTCTTACTATCATTATCAAAACATATAAAAATTAGACAAACCAACAATAATTCTGATTGGGCATTCACGAGAAGAATATTATTTAAGCAGAATAAAAGAATTTAATTTATAATATTCACTTGAGAAAATAGTTCAAAATATAATTTTTTAAATTATATAATTTTTAATTTTTGTCAAATAAAATATGTAAGATGAAATGCTCGTAGATTAAATCATAGATTTTGTAGAATTATTTTCTATAAAAATGTGAATAACATGAAAAGTCATTTTTAGTAGAACTAGGCTGAAAGTAGTGTTTAAACAGCAATAATTTACAGATTCATATTCATCAAGGAACAAATACTGTCGATTTCACCACACGAAGGTGAAAGTTTTAAGTAACTCCAATTATGTAATGAATAAAATCTGTGGTCATTTATGTTAAATTTATGCGAAGAAAACCATCATGATGAAGATTTTTCGTAGTACTACAGCTCAAATTTAATAAAGTATATAACTGAATCAATGTAACAATGATGTAGTACTGATCTATCGTAATAATCTAGACAAAATGTGTTTTTGTTTTCAAAAAATTTATCTTAAACTGAAGTAAATTTGGAAAATGTTTATCGTAAAATAATTGAACAAAGTAAGCTGAATATAAATATTTTTTTTTCAGCGCATAAAATAGTTATTTTTATATGGATAGTAGGAAGTGCTTCAAAAGCCATAGATATTAGGATCTTGTTTCAGGAGACATTTTGATAAGGACCCAGATTCCTAAATGACATTATCTGACTGTTCTGGAACACAATGCTGACCAGCGTTCAGATAGACATTGAAATACTAGAAAGCAGGTTATCATTTAGAAAAATTTACTAAACAAATCGTCCTTCAGAACAGTTTCACAGCCAGGTTTATTTTCGTGTGGCAAACACATACATGTACAATAAATGTACAAAAACATTCATCATAACACTTAAATATTTTACAGCAAGTAAGGTGAATACAAAATATGTGTTTGAATTTGATTCTCATCAAATCACTAGATAACAGAAAAATGTATAAAATAAGAAAAATAAATAATCAGAATTAAAGTAACAAAACACAAGGACAAAATGAAAATCAACAACGAGAACTGATTCAGAAGAAACCTAAAAAATTCGGATTTGAAACTTCACATAAATCCGAACATCAGATTGATTTGCACTAAGTACTTGACAATTTAGAAGATTGTATTATGAATGAATGATACAAGTCTCTTCAACGTCTCGCGAGCGTGCTCGAAATGCGACAAACTTGAGCGTGTATAGTGTTCACAAATGATAATGTTCTCCCGAAACCTGAAGTTACACAAGGCATCCGTCTAGGAAATGCCCATGGACAACTAATATTATGCTTGTCGAATTCAGTGAAACTGACCTGAGCATTTATTCTTGATCATATTCATAGCCACATACATTTTTCATTTCAACTACAGATAATGGTAATAATTTTCCAACACCTCCTCGCACAAATACACGTAAGTTTTCTAAAGCATGTTCGATGATTTCAGAAACTTCCTTTCCTATTTGGTGGGAATAACTACTTTGCCTGGTCTAAATTATCATCTGGCATTGCTGTGAACTGTTTGCGACGTTGGATTCCCACAACTCGCTTGACAGATGCCTTATTTTGGATTCCTCGTTTGCGAGCATGTGTTGATCTGTAGATGTTGATGTTTCATTTCACACCAGCCTAAACTTTGACCGCATTTTTGTCCAATCCTTCAGCATCACTGACATGATCCCATTGTTGGAACTCAAATTGTTGTGTTACTGTGTGAAATAGTATTGCAAAACCAATGATTAGCAAATATCTCCATTCCATTCATCTGCTTACATGATAGCTAAACAGGAATTTTCATGATACTGAAGTTGATACTTTTGAGTCGTTGTATCAATGAGTAACTTGAAATGGAATGTTATGGAATATTATCAATGCACGATGAGGGCTTTTGACTACTGGAGTTCTTTCCATCCTGATACTTTAATTCTTCTCGCCTAAATTGCATTTTCATTGAGATCGAACAGAATTGTTCGTTTAGACATTACTAGTTGACCTGTTCGAACTGAGTTCGATGACGGATATTTGAGAGCTACAAATCGTACACGACCTAACATCATGTTGATTTGTGCTGAGTAATTGTCAGTTGAGAAGATTGTATTATGATTGAATGATACAAGTCTCTTCAACGTCTCGTAAGCGTGCTCGAAATGCGACAAACTTGAGCGTGGATAGTGTACACGAATGATTATGTTCTCCCGAAACCTGAAGTTACACAAGCCATCCGTCTACGAAATGCCTATGGAAAACTAAAATTAAGCTTGTCGAGATCAGTGAAACTGACCTAAACACCTATTCATGATGATAGCGATTGCAAATATATTTCTTTCTACAAACACAGAGCATGAATTCGAATTTCCGCCACTTCCTCCACCTAAATCAAGCAAGTTTTTAACGCATGTTCGATGATTTCAGAAACTTCCTTTCTTATTTGTTGCAAATAACTACATTGCTTAGTCTAAATTATCATCTGGCATTGCTGTGAACTGTTTGCAACGTTGGATTCCCACAACTCGCTTACAGAGGCCTTATTTTGGATCTCTCGTTTGCGAGCATGTGTTCAACTGTAGATGTTGATCTTTCATTTTACACGTACACAAATTATTATGATCTGCAGAAACCTGAAGCTACACAATCCATTCGTCTAGGAAATGCCTATGAACGACTCACATTATGCTTAGCGAATTTAGTGAAACTGACCTGAACACATATTCTTGATCGTATTCATTGCCACTCACATTTTTATTCACATTACAGAAAATGATTACGAATTTCCACCGCTTCCCATACCTAATGCAGGTATGTATTCTTTAGCATTTTCGATTATTTCAGAAACTTACTTTCTTATTTGTTGCAAATAACTACATTGCTTAGTCTAAATTATCATCTGGCATTGCTGTGAACTGTTTGCAACGTTGGATTCCCACAACTCGCTTGACAGATGCCTTATTTTGGATTCCTCGTTTGCGAGCATGGGTTGATCTGTAGATGTTGATGTTTCATTTCACACCAGCCTAAACTTTGACCGCATTTTTGTCCAATCCTTCAGCATCACTGACATGATCCCATTGTTGGAACTCAAATTGTTGTGTTACTGTGTGAAATAGTATTGCAAAACCAATGATTAGCAAATATCTCCATTCCATTCATCTGCTTACATGATAGCTAAACAGGAATTTTCATGATACTGAAGTTGATACTTTTGAGTCGTTGTATCAATGAGTAACTTGAAATGGAATGTTATGGAATATTATCAATGCACGATGAGGGCTTTTGACTACTGGAGTTCTTTCCATCCTGATACTTTAATTCTTCTCGCCTAAATTGCATTTTCATTGAGATCGAACAGAATTGTTCGTTTAGACATTACTAGTTGACCTGTTCGAACTGAGTTCGATGACGGATATTTGAGAGCTACAAATCGTACACGACCTAACATCATGTTGATTTGTGCTGAGTAATTGTCAGTTGAGAAGATTGTATTATGATTGAATGATACAAGTCTCTTCAACGTCTCGTAAGCGTGCTCGAAATGCGACAAACTTGAGCGTGGATAGTGTACACGAATGATTATGTTCTCCCGAAACCTGAAGTTACACAAGCCATCCGTCTACGAAATGCCTATGGAAAACTAAAATTAAGCTTGTCGAGATCAGTGAAACTGACCTAAACACCTATTCATGATGATAGCGATTGCAAATATATTTCTTTCTACAAACACAGAGCATGAATTCGAATTTCCGCCACTTCCTCCACCTAAATCAAGCAAGTTTTTAACGCATGTTCGATGATTTCAGAAACTTCCTTTCTTATTTGTTGCAAATAACTACATTGCTTAGTCTAAATTATCATCTGGCATTGCTGTGAACTGTTTGCAACGTTGGATTCCCACAACTCGCTTGACAGATGCCTTATTTTGGATTCCTCGTTTGCGAGCATGGGTTGATCTGTAGATGTTGATGTTTCATTTCACACCAGCCTAAACTTTGACCGCATTTTTGTCCAATCCTTCAGCATCACTGACATGATCCCATTGTTGGAACTCAAATTGTTGTGTTACTGTGTGAAATAGTATTGCAAAACCAATGATTAGCAAATATCTCCATTCCATTCATCTGCTTACATGATAGCTAAACAGGAATTTTCATGATACTGAAGTTGATACTTTTGAGTCGTTGTATCAATGAGTAACTTGAAATGGAATGTTATGGAATATTATCAATGCACGATGAGGGCTTTTGACTACTGGAGTTCTTTCCATCCTGATACTTTAATTCTTCTCGCCTAAATTGCATTTTCATTGAGATCGAACAGAATTGTTCGTTTAGACATTACTAGTTGACCTGTTCGAACTGAGTTCGATGACGGATATTTGAGAGCTACAAATCGTACACGACCTAACATCATGTTGATTTGTGCTGAGTAATTGTCAGTTGAGAAGATTGTATTATGATTGAATGATACAAGTCTCTTCAACGTCTCGTAAGCGTGCTCGAAATGCGACAAACTTGAGCGTGGATAGTGTACACGAATGATTATGTTCTCCCGAAACCTGAAGTTACACAAGCCATCCGTCTACGAAATGCCTATGGAAAACTAAAATTAAGCTTGTCGAGATCAGTGAAACTGACCTAAACACCTATTCATGATGATAGCGATTGCAAATATATTTCTTTCTACAAACACAGAGCATGAATTCGAATTTCCGCCACTTCCTCCACCTAAATCAAGCAAGTTTTTAACGCATGTTCGATGATTTCAGAAACTTCCTTTCTTATTTGTTGCAAATAACTACATTGCTTAGTCTAAATTATCATCTGGCATTGCTGTGAACTGTTTGCAACGTTGGATTCCCACAACTCGCTTTACAGAGGCCTTATTTTGGATCTCTCGTTTGCGAGCATGTGTTCAACTGTAGATGTTGATCTTTCATTTTACACGTACACAAATTATTATGATCTGCAGAAACCTGAAGCTACACAATCCATTCGTCTAGGAAATGCCTATGAACGACTCACATTATGCTTAGCGAATTTAGTGAAACTGACCTGAACACATATTCTTGATCGTATTCATTGCCACTCACATTTTTATTCACATTACAGAAAATGATTACGAATTTCCACCGCTTCCCATACCTAATGCAGGTATGTATTCTTTAGCATTTTCGATTATTTCAGAAACTTACTTTCTTATTTGTTGCAAATAACTACATTGCTTAGTCTAAATTATCATCTGGCATTGCTGTGAACTGTTTGCGACGTTGGATTCCCACAACTCGCTTGACAGATGCCTTATTTTGGATTCCTCGTTTGCGAGCATGTGTTGATCTGTAGATGTTGATGTTTCATTTCACACCAGCCTAAACTTTGACCGCATTTTTGTCCAATCCTTCAGCATCACTGACATGATCCCATTGTTGGAACTCAAATTGTTGTGTTACTGTGTGAAATAGTATTGCAAAACCAATGATTAGCAAATATCTCCATTCCATTCATCTGCTTACATGATAGCTAAACAGGAATTTTCATGATACTGAAGTTGATACTTTTGAGTCGTTGTATCAATGAGTAACTTGAAATGGAATGTTATGGAATATTATCAATGCACGATGAGGGCTTTTGACTACTGGAGTTCTTTCCATCCTGATACTTTAATTCTTCTCGCCTAAATTGCATTTTCATTGAGATCGAACAGAATTGTTCGTTTAGACATTACTAGTTGACCTGTTCGAACTGAGTTCGATGACGGATATTTGAGAGCTACAAATCGTACACGACCTAACATCATGTTGATTTGTGCTGAGTAATTGTCAGTTGAGAAGATTGTATTATGATTGAATGATACAAGTCTCTTCAACGTCTCGTAAGCGTGCTCGAAATGCGACAAACTTGAGCGTGGATAGTGTACACGAATGATTATGTTCTCCCGAAACCTGAAGTTACACAAGCCATCCGTCTACGAAATGCCTATGGAAAACTAAAATTAAGCTTGTCGAGATCAGTGAAACTGACCTAAACACCTATTCATGATGATAGCGATTGCAAATATATTTCTTTCTACAAACACAGAGCATGAATTCGAATTTCCGCCACTTCCTCCACCTAAATCAAGCAAGTTTTTAACGCATGTTCGATGATTTCAGAAACTTCCTTTCTTATTTGTTGCAAATAACTACATTGCTTAGTCTAAATTATCATCTGGCATTGCTGTGAACTGTTTGCAACGTTGGATTCCCACAACTCGCTTTACAGAGGCCTTATTTTGGATCTCTCGTTTGCGAGCATGTGTTCAACTGTAGATGTTGATCTTTCATTTTACACGTACACAAATTATTATGATCTGCAGAAACCTGAAGCTACACAATCCATTCGTCTAGGAAATGCCTATGAACGACTCACATTATGCTTAGCGAATTTAGTGAAACTGACCTGAACACATATTCTTGATCGTATTCATTGCCACTCACATTTTTATTCACATTACAGAAAATGATTACGAATTTCCACCGCTTCCCATACCTAATGCAGGTATGTATTCTTTAGCATTTTCGATTATTTCAGAAACTTACTTTCTTATTTGTTGCAAATAACTACATTGCTTAGTCTAAATTATCATCTGGCATTGCTGTGAACTGTTTGCAACGTTGGATTCCCACAACTCGCTTGACAGATGCCTTATTTTGGATTCCTCGTTTGCGAGCATGGGTTGATCTGTAGATGTTGATGTTTCATTTCACACCAGCCTAAACTTTGACCGCATTTTTGTCCAATCCTTCAGCATCACTGACATGATCCCATTGTTGGAACTCAAATTGTTGTGTTACTGTGTGAAATAGTATTGCAAAACCAATGATTAGCAAATATCTCCATTCCATTCATCTGCTTACATGATAGCTAAACAGGAATTTTCATGATACTGAAGTTGATACTTTTGAGTCGTTGTATCAATGAGTAACTTGAAATGGAATGTTATGGAATATTATCAATGCACGATGAGGGCTTTTGACTACTGGAGTTCTTTCCATCCTGATACTTTAATTCTTCTCGCCTAAATTGCATTTTCATTGAGATCGAACAGAATTGTTCGTTTAGACATTACTAGTTGACCTGTTCGAACTGAGTTCGATGACGGATATTTGAGAGCTACAAATCGTACACGACCTAACATCATGTTGATTTGTGCTGAGTAATTGTCAGTTGAGAAGATTGTATTATGATTGAATGATACAAGTCTCTTCAACGTCTCGTAAGCGTGCTCGAAATGCGACAAACTTGAGCGTGGATAGTGTACACGAATGATCATGTTCTCCCGAAACCTGAAGTTACACAAGCCATCCGTATAAAAAATGCTTATTGAAAACTCAAATTATGCATGTCAAAATCGGTGAAACTGACCTAAACACTTATTCTTGATGATATTGATTGACGTTTATATTTATTTTTACAATTACAGAGCATGAATTCGAATTTCCACCACTTCCGCCACCTAAAACACGTAGGTTTTTAACGCATGTTCAATGATTTCAGAAACTTCCTTTCTTATTTGTTGGGAATAACTACTTTGCCTGGTCTAAATTATCATCTGGCATTGCTGTGAACTGTTTGCGACGTTGGATTCCCACAACTCGCTTGACAGATGCCTTATTTTGGATTCCTCGTTTGCGAGCATGTGTTGATCTGTAGATGTTGATGTTTCATTTTACACGTAGACATATGATTATGTTCTGCAGAAACCTGTAAGCTACAGAAGCCATTCCGTCTAGGAAATGCCTATGAACGACTCACATTATATTTGTCGAATTTAGTGAAACTGACCTGAACATTTATTCTTGATCATATTCATAGCCACATACATTTTTCATTTCAACTACAGATAATGGTAATAATTTTCCAACACCTCCTCGCACAAATACACGTAAGTTTTGTAAAGCATGTTCAATGATTTCAGAAACTTCCTTTCTTATTTGTTGGGAATAACTACTTTGCCTGGTCTAAATTATCATCTGGCATTGCTGTGAACTGTTTGCGACGTTGGATTCCCACAACTCGCTTGACAGATGCCTTATTTTGGATTCCTCGTTTGCGAGCATGTGTTGATCTGTGGATGTTGTTGTTTCATTTTACACGTACACAAATTATTATGTTCTGCAGAAACCTGAAGCTACACAAGCCATTCGTCTAGGAAATGCCTATGAACGACTCACATTATATTTGTCGAATTTAGTGAAACTGACCTGAACATTTATTCTTGATCATATTCATAGCCACATACATTTTTCATTTCAACTACAGATAATGGTAATAATTTTCCAACACCTCCTCGCACAAATACACGTAAGTTTTGTAAAGCATGTTCAATGATTTCAGAAACTTCCTTTCTTATTTGTTGGGAATAACTACTTTGCCTGGTCTAAATTATCATCTGGCATTGCTGTGAACTGTTTGCGACGTTGGATTCCCACAACTCGCTTGACAGATGCCTTATTTTGGATTCCTCGTTTGCGAGCATGGGTTGATCTGTAGATGTTGATGTTTCATTTTACACGTAGACATATGATTATATTCTGCAGAAACCTGTAGCTACAGAAGTCATCCGTCTGGGAAATGCCTATGAACGACTCACATTATGCTTGTCGAATTTAGTGAAACTGACCTGAACATTTATTCTTGATCATATTCATAGCCACATACATTTTTCATTTCAACTACAGATAATGGTAATAATTTTCCAACACCTCCTCGCACAAATACACGTAAGTTTTGTAAAGCATGTTCAATGATTTCAGAAACTTCCTTTCTTATTTGTTGGGAATAACTACTTTGCCTGGTCTAAATTATCATCTGGCATTGCTGTGAACTGTTTGCGACGTTGGATTCCCACAACTCGCTTGACAGATGCCTTATTTTGGATTCCTCGTTTGCGAGCATGTGTTGATCTGTGGATGTTGTTGTTTCATTTTACACGTACACAAATTATTATTTTCTGCAGAAACCTGTAGCTACAGAAGTCATCCGTCTGGGAAATGCCTATGAACGACTCACATTATGCTTGTCGAATTTAGTGAAACTGACCTGAACATTTATTCTTGATCATATTCTTTGCTACTTTTATTTTTCATTGCAATTACAGATAATGGTAATAAATACTCCATTCCACCTGGCATTAATATACGTAAGTTTTGTAAAGCATGTTCGACGATATCAGAAACTTCCTTTCTTATTTGTTGCGAATAACTACTTTGCCTAGTTTACATTATCATCTGGCATTGCTGTGAACTGTTTGCGACGTTGGATTCCCACAACGCGCTTGACTGATGGTTTTCTTTAAACCTATCTTTTTCGAGCATCGTACTATTTTTCTATGTTCATATTTCTCTGTTTACTACGAAAATGGTTTCTTTCGATGCATTGTTTATTCGAGCCACAATGGGTTCGTTCACATTGACAATATTTGGTTTCTTGAATCAAAATCCTGTTTCGGATTCTTTATTTCTTGCTGCTAGTTTTCATTTAGATATTATTATAATTTTATCACAAGACTTCATATATACTTGACTTCTGATCGAATTAGATCAACTGGAAACTGTTTCGTTATCTTACCCGCTTTTAACGACTAACGTGTTTACGTTATATTTAACTGTAACTATTATCGATGCTAATCTCAGCAATCTCTCTACGAAATGCCTATGGACAACTAATATTATGCATGTCAAAATCAGTGAAACTGACCTAAACACTTATTCTTGATCATATTCATTGCATCTTACATCTTTTGATTAAATAGTGGATGAAAATCCCCCAAAAAAGCCGCGAAAAAAAATTGAAGGTATTTTCTATAAGGTTTTTTAAATGATTTTAGAAAATTCCTTTCTTATTTGTTGCAAATAACTACATTGCTTAGTCTAAATTATCATCTGGCATTTCTGTGAACTGTTTGCAACGTTGGATTCCCACAACTCGCTTGACAGATGCCTTATTTTGGATTCCTCGTTTGCGAGCATGGGTTGATCTGTAGATGTTGATGTTTCATTTCACACCAGCCTAAACTTTGACCGCATTTTTGTCCAATCCTTCAGCATCACTGACATGATCCCATTGTTGGAACTCAAATTGTTGTGTTACTGTGTGAAATAGTATTGCAAAACCAATGATTAGCAAATATCTCCATTCCATTCATCTGCTTACATGATAGCTAAACAGGAATTTTCATGATACTGAAGTTGATACTTTTGAGTCGTTGTATCAATGAGTAACTTGAAATGGAATGTTATGGAATATTATCAATGCACGATGAGGGCTTTTGACTACTGGAGTTCTTTCCATCCTGATACTTTAATTCTTCTCGCCTAAATTGCATTTTCATTGAGATCGAACAGAATTGTTCGTTTAGACATTACTAGTTGACCTGTTCGAACTGAGTTCGATGACGGATATTTGAGAGCTACAAATCGTACACGACCTAACATCATGTTGATTTGTGCTGAGTAATTGTCAGTTGAGAAGATTGTATTATGATTGAATGATACAAGTCTCTTCAACGTCTCGTAAGCGTGCTCGAAATGCGACAAACTTGAGCGTGGATAGTGTACACGAATGATCATGTTCTCCCGAAATCTGATGTTATGCAATCCGCCGGTCTGTAATTTTTTTCTCAAATCTTTATACGAACTTTCTTTATTTTGGTGATCATAGATGATATTGACGTTTCTAAGTTGTCAGACTGTAAGTTTCAAATGGAATTGTGATTTTATTTCGTTACTTATTCGTTCATATATGTACTAAATTGATTTACTTTATGATAGACCCTGTTTGCTTTTTATACAGTTTATCTATTTTTTGATTCTATCTGGTTTTGATTATTTCAAAATTAGCCAATATGTCAATTGTAGTTTTCAGTTTTTATAAATTAACTGCATTTTTTAGACATAAATAATCTTCATTAAACTATCCAATCATTCAGTATATGTTTTTATGTTTATATTGTCTGTGAATGTGTGCTAATTACTACTTAAATGTACGGCTTGGACTTTAATTTCTGATTATTGTATATCATAATCTGATAATTACGTCTCCAGTCATAATGAAAGACTCTCAACTATTTTTCTAATAATTCATCTCTATACACATTATATAAATGGGAATTTCAAGTATTTTATAGTTTCTGTTTATCACTCTTTGATCAGATAGACAAAAATTGTTTGGAGAATGAAATGTTATTTTGACTAGTGAAACGCTTACAGTACTAATACTCTTTATTCACATATCAATTAGTATATGAAAACGTTATATTTTGAAACGAAAATTGTAACCGCATGTCTAACACTGTATTAAAACATTTATTGAAGAGAAATATTTTATCAATGAGAATCATTCTTCTGAATAATTCTATCAATCATATAAACGTCTACGCATTGATAAATTATCATTATTTTATCTATTTAAAAATGGACAAATTTTAACACATTAGATAAATATTTCATTGTTTTTTCTTAATTATTATACGTGTTTAATTAATTATGATCTATTGATTTTATATACAGTTGAGAAGTTAGAGAAAGAACTTAGAGATATTAATGAAAAAATTGATGATTATACATGTGGGTTATTATTTCATCAAATTTTATGCATTTTTGTAATAATGTAGAAGTGTTTATTTAACTTGAAAATACATGTATGAAATATGTATCTCTCATAAAATGAAAAAAAAAATAATAAGTATGATTTATATTATAAACTATGATTTTGACTGATCTAATTAAAATGGACTAAATAACAAGTTAAAGAAAAGCTAAAGTCCTGACAATTATTCAATGTAATTATTATGAAAATGATTACTATCAATTGTCAATTGATATTATTTTAGATGATCTTAACAAAGCCAAACAAAGTCTTGGAAGAGGTAAGTTATAAATTGATTAAAAGTTAATACAGAATAAAATATTTATCATGCTTATTGTTTCATATTTAAATACTATTTTGACCAATAAATATCACACTTATTTAATAGCATTCACTTTTATTTCATTAGATCCAAACGCACAGCAGAATATCAAAAACTATCAAAATCAAATAAATCACTATAGAGGTGAATAAAAATTTTATCAAAATGAAAAAAACATAGGATAAATTTACCTACAATTTAATTACCACGTTAAAATAACGGATCAAGTAGTGAAAGAGGAGTAATATATATATATATATATATATATATATATATATATCAATAAAACAAAAACAAAGATAATTAGATAATTTTGAATTAAAAAAAATTACATACTTCACGTTCCTAAATTTAATGTTTCATTTTAAAATGTTTACATTTAAATAAAAGAAAAAGAGAAGGAATTACAAAAAAAGCGCTCGCAAACAAGATCGTCAAACTATTACGGTAAGTAGGCGAAACAAAAAACCAGTGCAATATAGACACAAGAAATAATTGTAAGATTAGATTTAAAAAATAAATGCAAAAAAACAGACGTAACAAAAAGAAAAAACTAAAAAAAATTGTGAGATATGAATAGAAAAACAATAACAAATAATACACCATCGAGAATATTTAACGGCGATAGTTAGAAATTATACTGTACAGTAAAAGGTAAAAAAATATATTACCGAAGATATTCAACAAAATATCCAATCTTCGAAATTTCTGCGTACTACAGGAAATATCAATAGAATACAATCATAGGGTTTTCCATATAAATACAACTAGTTCACACAATTACGGCGTGAAACCGGTAAACAATTTATAGGTTATAAATTAACGTGCTACTTGTGTATTCACCCAACTACTTCATAGACACAATTTGCTACATCACTGACAAGCAAATTGTTCAGTCATTGGTGTCCGATATAAGGCTGGTAGCAGTGATTCATGTGCAGAAAATACATTTTAGTCATCATGATTAAGTGACTTAGATTTTGTATAGAGAGCTTCCATGACCATTACATTGATCATTCGATCAGATACTGCTCCGAATACTGATGAATATTAAGATCGTCTGGATTATTTCAAATTTCACCTATCACAATTCTCACGTGTGATTCGCGTTACAGTTTTTGTAATTTGCACTGAGATCGCTGACACGGAATGACGCGAGTAATGTGGTGTGGTTTTGATGTTGACAGTCTAATTTGAGACTCGATCAGTGAAACACTTCCTAGTCAACTGGAAACAAGAGATCATTGTTCGAACTAACTAGTCCATACATCTTCTAGTGTTTTGTGTGTAGCATTCTAGGCTGGTGTACTTTTCACATCGACCGACTTGCAATCTGAACAAAACCTACGACGCTAAAATGTTTCATGTCCAATAAGGTGGCCAATTGCAGATATAATAAACATACATCGGAATGCACAATTGATTAACAATCTGCAAACATGATAATCTCTACAGATAAATATTCAAACTGATCCCATTGATATTTTGAAGTCGGATATGTGACTTCGTCAACATAGGTTCAGTGTACAGATGTGCACAGTTTCATTTCATTTGCTTTGATTCTGAAATCACTTTTACACATATCAGATTTCATGTTGAAATCCACAGTTGGATGTTTCTTCGAATTTGAAATTTTCGAATATCCAGTAATAATATGCAACTGAACGATTATCTAAATAAAATATGCCTGATTGTGTTGATAATTAACAGGGAATAATGGAGGGAGTGGTTACAACAGCCGTGGACATGGAAACTATCCTTCAGGTAAGTGTCAAAAATAATTTAGCTGGATTTGGTTCATTATTTTATTTTCGTAAATAATCTAAACATTTGAAGAATCATATCATATAATTGATTGATACCAACGCCAGTGACCGCTTTACAACATGATATTTCCCACCGCCCAATATACCGATTTTTCCACTCTTCAATATTTGAAAACTTTCGTATTATCACACTGTTATAAACCTGAACATTTGTTTAAAATCAGCGTTCCGAAGCCATTTCAATGCACTAACACACGAAATGATTTACAAATGAAGTTTAATTTACCGAAGACTTGAAACTCATTTGACATTTTCATCGCTATTCAGAAGAACAAAACACTGTTATCTAGTCATACAACGTACAGCATCACCAAACTACAGTTCACAATATTTATTTCTAGATTAACATCTCACACTGAATACATAGTACCAGATGCACTTCCTTCCAGAGCAAACAATAAATCGCCCCTAATGAACAGTTCGTAGCTGTATGCAAAATATGTCACTATAGTATTTCAAGCAAACATTGTCAAGAGACGTCAAAAATTTTATTACGCACGATATTCAACGAAATATCCCATCCTCGAAATTTCTGCGTTCTACAGGAAATATCAATAGAATACAATCAAAAGGGTTTTCCATATAAACACAACTAGTTCACACAATTACGACGCGAAACCGGTAAACAATTTATAGGTTATAAATTAACGTGCTACTTGTGTACTCACCCAACTACTTCATAGACACAATTTGCTACATCACTGACAAGCAAATTGTTCAGTCATTGGTGTCCGATATAAGGCTGGTAGCAGTGATTCATGTGCAGAAAATACATTTTAGTCATCATGATTAAGTGACTTAGATTTCGTATAGAGAGCTTCCATGACCATTACATTGATCATTCGATCAGATACTGCTCCGAATACTGATGAATATTCAGGTCGTCTGGATTATTTCAAATTTCACCTATCACCATTCTCACGTGTGATTCGCGTTACAGTTTTTGTAATTTGCACTGAGATCGCTGACACGGAATGACGCGAGTAATGTGGTGTGGTTTTGATGTTGACAGTCTAATTTGAGACTCGATCAGTGAAACACTTCCTAGTCAACTGGAAACAAGAGATCATTGTTCGAACTAACTAGTCCATACATCTTCTAGTGTTTTGTGTGTAGCATTCTAGGCTGGTGTACTTTACACATCGACCGACTTGCAATCTGAACAAAACCTACGACGCTAAAATGTTTCATGTCCAATAGGGTGGCCAATTGAAGATATAATAAACATACATCGGAATGCACAATTGATTAACAATCTGCAAACATGATAATCTCTACAGATGAATATTCAAAGTGATCCCATTGATATTTTGAAGTCGGATATGTGACTTCGTTAACATAGGTTCAGTGTACATATTTTGTATAATTTTATCTCAGAATGTTGGCATCTCAATATGCTGGGATTAAGTTTTTTAAACTGTATATTCTTTCGTTTTATTTGTTCTTATTTGAATATCGTACTTCAATTTATTCATAATTGGATGAATGAATTTCATCCATTTTTTTCGATTGTTTATAATATTTGCAGGATTCAAAATATATAGTGGTTCGTTTAATAAAAGACAAGCAAAAACATACTTTCGTTATCCAGGAACAAGTTCGTATATTCTGTCTTATTAAGTAACATTTCGTGAATCAATTTTGTACAAAATTTCTTTTCGTATTCAGAAATTATGCAATACAACAATTCACAATTTGCCACATCACTGACAAGCAAATTGTTCAGTCATTGGTGTCCGATATAAGGCTGGTAGCAGTGATTCATGTGCAAAAAATACATTTTAGTCATCATGATTAAGTGACTTAGATTTTGTATAAGGAGCATCTATGACCATTTCTTTGATTATTCGATCAGATACTGCTCCGAATACTGATGAATATTCAGGTCGTCTGGATTATTTCAAATTTCACCTATCACCATTCTCACGTGTGATTCGCGTTACAGTTTTTGTAATTTGCAATGAGATCGCTGACACGGAATGACGCGAGTAATGTGGTGTGGTTTTGATGTTGACAGTCTAATTTGAGACTCGATCAGTGAAACACTTCCTAGTCAACTGGAAACAAGAGATCATTGTTCGAACTAACTAGTCCATACATCTTCTAGTGTTTTGTGTGTAGCATTCTAGGCTGGTGTACTTTACACATCGACCGACTTGCAATCTGAACAAAACCTACGACGCTAAAATGTTTCATGTCCAATAGGGTGGCCAATTGAAGATATAATAAACATACATCGGAATGCACAATTGATTAACAATCTGCAAACATGATAATCTCTACAGATGAATATTCAAAGTGATCCCATTGATATTTTGAAGTCGGATATGTGACTTCGTTAACATAGGTTCAGTGTACAGATGTGCACAGTTTCATTTCATTTGCTTTGATTCTGAAATCACTTTTACACATATCAGATTTCATGTTGAAATCCACAGTTGGATGTTTCTTCGAATTTGAAATTTTCGAATATCCAGTAATAATATGCAACTGAACGATTATCTAAATAAAATATGCCTGATTGTGTTGATAATTAACAGGGAATAATGGAGGGAGTGGTTACAACAGCCGTGGACATGGAAACTATCCTTCAGGTAAGTGTCAAAAATAATTTAGCTTCATTTGGTTCTGCAGTTGCGGTTTTTTCACAGAAACACAGTATTTCATTTTACTTTCTCCGATTCTTTTTATTTGGTCTTATTAATCGAAGTGGATGTAATTTTTTCGTTTGAATTTTGATAGGAATTTCTGTTTTTGTTGTGGCATTCTAATAATAGCCTCCACATGTTTTTAATTTTTATTGCATTTTTTTTCAATAATTCACAGGCAATTCCGTTGCTTCTAATATCAATCATGGAATATCCGATATCGTGAACGAGTTCAATAACGCTTTATGTAATTTCTCGCGATATTCATTTAGTTATTTGGTTTCATATCAATAACGAATTATTTAGGAAATATATTCTACCATGTCTTAACACGGCCCAATATGCCAATTTTTCCATTCCAATTTATGTGAAATTTTTCTGATCGAATACCTGAACGTTTGTTTCAAACTAGCGTTCAAAAAGCTATTTGAGTGCCATTACACAATAAATGACATTGTAAGGAGGCTTAGTTTTTCGAAGACTTGAAATTTACTTGATATTCTGTTCGACAAAATGATACATTGTTATCTAATAATATAACTTACAGCATCACTAAAATACTTATCACAACAGTTCTTTTAGGTGTAACTTCTCATACTGAATACAAATCATTAGATCACCGTTGTATATTTTGTTCATGATAATATTATTTGCCATATTTTATTTGAAACATCTCTGCCAAGCTATATGAAGTATTTGAGACTTTCCTGATAACCTCTTATCTGACGTTAATTCTAACAAAGAGTTTCGTTAATTGTAATCATCCCTTCTTTGAATTTCTTTATGATTTGGTTATGTGACTTAGTTCAGGCGTTCACGTGCATTTTTTATAAGTACATTCTATTATTTTTATAATCATATAGTTTATTTAAAATGTAATTTGTAGTTAAAGTTGAAACGAATCAGAGGAATTTGGAAATTCAGCGGATCAAGTACACTAAACGCAAGTTCATTTTATTTCCTCATATAATCGTCTATTTTATTTAGTATTATCAAAACAAGATTGGCTTGATAAAATCGATGAAGCAATGAATAATGATGGTAAGTACATTATCATGCATTATTTTGATGAAATGATAGAAGATAAACGAGTAATAGCACCTAATTTTTTTACATTTATTTTCATTTACAAAATTACAGTAAATTCAGCATAAGTGTAAGTGTAAGTGATCTCTTTGTAAATATTTTCGCTGTTAAATCCACTTAGTTCAGTCAGTTTATAGATCGTTCTATTGATATAGTCTTTCAGCAAATAAATTAAAGTGCACGAATTTAATATGATGACATTTCAGTAAAGCTATCTTATTATTGGCATCAAAGCTTTTAAAAATTTCTTTTTCATGACGAATGACATAGTCAATAAGAGAATCAATCATAATGTTATTGATGTTGATGATAAATGACAGATAAGTTGCCAGACATGATCGAGCGATAAAACGGCATGCCGTAGATATTAAACCATCTATGACAACATGTTCTTCAAACAGTATATTAAAACCACCTAATTTATGATTGATTAGGTATTGTTCTGTTACATCTTCATTACGTTTATAAAGTTAAATTGTAGTACGTTAAATAATACTACTACATGACAAGGATAAGCCCGTATTAAACCTATTATTTTATTAGCATAATTAAATTTACGTTTCGAGTCCTAGATAGTGATAATCAATAAATTCATCAATCAGATACAACATAGATCTTGATACGTGAGTACATAGGTTCAGCTTTACACACTGCTTTAGTACAAAAACTGAAGTGTCATTCCCAATCTCATAGTGGTAGAAATAGTAGAAGTATTAGCAGGAACGTAGGAGATTATGGTTTGTAGATAGGATTCCAGAAATATAATTCATTGAGATAACTTTAGAAAAAGAAATAAAGAGATGATGAGTGATTCAGAAATTTAAAGTTTAAGATAACATAAATCGTGAATGTATATGCACCACTGCAAACTACTTTGAGCAATGTACTCCATGGTCTCAAATTATCGGGTACAGTCATCTCCCAAATCCAAACCAGTTATTGTACATTTACGAACATAAGTCAATCGAGTTGTCAGCGACTTCATGGATTTGTGCCATGTTTTGGTTTGGCCGCCCCTAGCTTTCTTCCAACCTATTACCACACTGCAAAACATCGCTCGTATGGACAGTCGGTGGGAACGTATTCGTGACGTGTCCCAACAACCTCAACTGATGAAGCTTCAACATTTAATCTTTTGGTTTGCTAACCCTACTTAGTACTCGTTTCCTTATGACAGCATTGCTTACTTGGTTTTACTAGGATACACGAGCAATGCTTAAAAGACGTCTATGATCTAACACCAGTAAACTTCAAATATCCTCTACACCTAATGGCCATGTTTTGCATACATATATTAGAATTGATCGAACTTTTGCGTGCTAGACTTGTCTTTTCGTTTGCGAACGGATATCTCGCCTATACCATGAGTGACGCACGTTGGCTAAAGCCAATCGAGCCTTCTGAATCCGTAATTAACTGATCCACTCCCTATCACTAGTTCAGGTGCCGGCGCAAGTGAACCCTGAAGTCACATTTTGCATTTCGAGGGAGAAAAACACACCCTAAATATTCTTGTATTGCTCTCCGAGAAAGTCAGAAGACTTTGCATCATGCCGGCGTATTCACCAAGTAGAACTATGTTATCGGTTTATTCTAAGTCTAGAAGCGGGTGTTCTGGTTGAAGATGCATTCTTCAAAAGGATAAAGTTAACTTTAAAAGCATTTCTTCGACAATGCAAAACAGGAATGGAGAGAGTGAACAGCCCTGACGGATATCACTTAAATTAATCGATTCCGATTAGAGTTTGTCCTAAGCTCTCACTCGACCAATTATGTTCGAATTCACAGCTTGTATACGGTAAAAGCAATTCATTGGTGCGTCTTTCAATAACAGACACTGCCACAGAACCTCACGATGGACACTGTCAAAAGACACTTTAAGGTCGACTGATTATACTATTTTGGAGCGTCTGAACGTGTGCTTTGTTCTAGTACCTGTCGTAGTATGAAGATCTGATCAAAACATCGAAGTCTAGATGTGGTGGTGTTTCGTTCTCTGAGCTGGTTGTTTTGGTTGAGGATCTTTTATTGTTCATCCGAACAACATCATCAGCACAAACTTCAGACAGAAGTGAAGCATTCGAAGTTCTCCACGTTTGACCTGTAGCTTGTGCTGCAAACCTCGATCCTGATAGGTTGCTGTTGACCTTTAGCCTGTCGTTGTTCACACCTTTGTTTTGATTGCATACCCTTTTTGAACTGTTTCTTGATCCAATGTTTCCTATGATTTTTCTCATTGGTCGAAGTCTGGGCCGAAAACTAGGCTCTTTTTCTCTAGTCTCCCCTCCACGGGCTCTGAATAGATATAAGGGCATTCCTCATATTCTGTCTGCATTCTCAGTCAAACTTACCGCTAAAACTGGACAAGCATCCTAAAATATACCTTGAGGGTCAGCCCTTTTTAATTAGTCTAACTACTTGAGCAATAAATTGACCAACTATTATTACCATATGAAAACGTTTAACCTTTTGGAGAGGGTTCAAAAGCTTTCTGTAAAACTGATCTTTCACCTCGTCAGAACTGCAGTCAGTGGGAGTGTAGGCAGAAATGACGAAAAGGCAATTGCGAGTGTCACTGTCTCTCAGACTCCTTACTGTCCCCTTTGGTCGAACAGCGCGCAAGCGACTATCTACTAAGATTAAATCTAGGAGAGTTAGTTCTGCTCTGGGACTCCATACTATGACTACATTAGCAAGGTCCCGAAAAGCTGTGGCAGGACTTCCTTATTTTAACATGGTGAAGTCAAATGAGTGACGCTGCTTGGATCCTGTAAGCGCGTTTCGAATACGCAGCATACATCAACGTCGCGAGATTTTAAAGTCCCAGATAGGTGAACCTGTTGTCCTATTCGACTCAAAGTCCGAACATTAGTCTCATCGTTCTCAAATCGGCCTGCCCGGCATGGTAGAACCTACAGGAACTTAGGTTCCAGCCAATGTAGCACGTCATAGTAGCAGCTGCGTTCGGGCGATAATCAATAAACTATACTAATATACAAAAAGATATATAGGATTTGTGAAACGTTTACTAACTGTACATGATTGGAACGAAATTAGAGAAATAGTCTTCTTCCTGACGATAAATCATTCACTAGAGTTTCAAATACCTTATAGCTTAAAAATTTTCATCTTGTTATTGGATGTAAAACATTTTGATTATCATGAGACATCACTTGTAATACAAATTTTCTATATTCAAACAGGAACGCTGAAGAATATACGAAATGATTTCCAAATAAAATCCTTTTTTAAATCGTTTTGATGAAAAACTGGCAGAAAATAAAGTGTTAACTTTTAAATAATGAGACGAGTTTGTAAATCTTTGAGACAGTTTTCATTATGTTCAAGTATTTTTTTGTCATATTACGTGGTGTATATTTTGCGAATATCTAACAGCTTTAATAATTTTGTTTGCTCGCAACGTTAAAATAAAATTGATTTTCAAATAATAGATCTCCTTTTTGGTAAATTTCATTTTGAAGTTGACAATTTATAAAGTATTTATCAATTATAATAAATCACTCAATCTTTGTATATAAAAGTTTTCAACGGTAACGAATAAAATGACTAAACATGTATGACCAACAGTTCGATCAATTAAAGGAACAGTTCATCCTTACTAGAGGTCAGTCCTATTTCGCATGATAATTTTAATGAAGCAAACATCAAATATCATTCCAGTGTTTATGTATGCTTAGAATGCCTAATAGATTATCATTTAGTACTGTTGTAGTGAACGAGAACACAGATGGGCCAACCGAATTGTATCTAGGGAAAATTACAGAGTTACTCAGTAAAATCGGAAAACCATATCGTAAATCGTTAATTTGCAAAATATCAGTTCATCGTATCGAACTGGACTGTTCCAGTTGCAAAACATCAATCCATTGTCACTATTCCATTGTGTTCTAACTCTTCCTTTCTTCATCTTCCCTCATCTTCTGCTGCCAGACATTACGTTGACACTCACGTCATATACTACTTATAAGTAGCTTGCACCACACTGTGACTTGTAAACTATCTTCGCATTATTAATCAGTATCCATAAGCACTCATAATATATGACTGTTAACAGTTTTGATGCGAATATTGTCCAGGATGTCTTGACGAAAGTATTTGTTGAAATAAAAATGTAACACTGCAAATTGACTCTGACTATATTCACTTTCATAAATATGAAAACCTGACAAACAGCTACCTTGAATCGTGCTGCAACTCGATTGATATTCGGAAACGTGTCCAGAACACAGAATCTGTAATCTGTGAAATGCACTTGCGGATAAGTGATTTACTCATCATTGAATTAGTAAGTAATTTTATTTATTGACCAATTTCGTGTTTATCAGCAGCATGAATATTTATGAAATTATTGTAGGGGATGTCATATCCCCAGAACTCGCTTGAATAATGCCTTACTTTGGATTTCACGTTTGCGAGCATAAGATGATCATTTGACCCTGAGATTTTATTTCCCCCCAGGAAAGTCCTGGGCTATGATTGGCCGATGTGTATTTTAGTGTGCTATTTTCTTAACGGTCTCAAGGACGTTTATATGATGTATAAATGAATGACAGTTGTGTGCTTGATTGTATTGTGATTGCTGTGTGTTGTAGAATTTACTTTCTACGCTTAAAAAGTCTTCTGTTTTGCGGTTTAGGAATCAAGGTAGCCTACTTGGACGCTGGTAATTGTCTCGTTCGCGTTTATCGACTGAGGTGAACTCGTTATAGCTTCAAGCGTACCAAGTGACGAACATAACAACTGGCGACGGTGGTTTTGGAAACATGGATCCTGCCAAACCTGAATTATTACTTAAGCAGCAGCTGAATTTGATCTAGATGTTGACAAATAGTATAGCTGAATTTCATTGTGATCGTGACGCCAATGTTACTTTTGGTTCCGGCGTTATAAAGAATTATTTAAATTTCATTTCTCCAACCAAGATGAGGCTTGGAATGTTTGGCTGCTAATTCGAAAGTTGGGTGCAAGTGAGTTCGAGAAGCACTGCAATTTGATCCTGCACTTGAACCCACTGGATGGTTCATTTTCTGAAACATTTCGGAAACTGAGCCAACACTTTGGCGACAACCAGTCTCTGTTTAATACTCGTTGTCGATGTCTGAAGCTAATTACGAACAAAGACGATGATTTTCTTGCGCAAATGTGCAATGTCTTTCATGAATGCAAACGCTTTCGGTTGAATTCTTTGTCTTAAGATCATTTTCAAGCCGTCATACTCATTTCTAGCCTCCAATCTCATAAGTTCAGTGACATTAGAACAAGTCTACTATGTCGGTTAGAACAAAATCGGAAGCTCATCTTTAGCGATATGGCTATTGAGTACCGACGTCTCACTAACTTACAACGAGACAACCATAGTGCAGAGTGGTAGTTCAAACCGATATGAAGTATATTTGGTACAGCAGGTAATTAGTCAGAATAAATCTGCCAACGCTACACACAGCTTATCTCATTCTAGCTCTGCCCAAAAGTCAAAAATTACTCCCCCGGCTGCGTGTTTGCACTATGTACGGAACTGCCTATTTAGGCAACCTCGATACATGTAGTGTAAGGTCATCGGTCACAAAGATAGCCTTTGCCTAAAGAAAAAGCAAAACTGATCCAGAAGTGCTAAGAAGTCTGTTCCTAGATCCGGTACCAATGCACTGAGACTAATATCTTGCTTCCAAAGCTCATCACCAGGTCAGAGATAATTTAATACTCCTAATGTTAACGGGCATTTGTTTAGATTGCGAATAGATACCACATCTGACGTCACTATCCTCTCATGCAAAAATTCGACCAAGTTGGGCATCACACAACAGAGAAGCCTCAAAAAGCATGTGGTAATTACCTTTCGACTGTTAGGACAATTGGAATGTAAAGTTGCCTTTCGAGACTCGTCACTTACTAGGGTATGTTATATTACGCCAAACGATCTAAATGTACTTGGTTTAGATTGGTTCGACCAGCTAAAATTGGCTGATGTCCCGTTAAACACCATATACCATAAGGTATTACAATCACATGACCCTGAATCTAGGACGCAGTTTGCAACCAGTTTTCAACCTGGATTGGGTCGGTGCACTGCCATGAAAGCAACACTTCGGTTGAAACATGGGGCTAAGATTGCTTTCCGTCCAAAGAGAACCGTAACTAGTGCCACATTCGTAACAATGGATGAAGAGTTGTTACCCCTTCAACCGAAAGGAGTTATTAATCCCGTTTCTTACTGTGCTTGTGTAGCACCTATAGTCGTTATCAAGAAGGCCAACGGTACGATACGTATATGTTCTGACTTCCATACAGGTCTAAACGCAGCTCTAGAACAGAATCATTATCCTCAGATCTGTTTACTATGCTGAATGTGGGAAAGTTTTTCGCAAAGCTCGATCTAGCTGATGCTTATTTGCAAGTGAAAGTAGATGGAGCATCAAACGCGCTGCTTACTATCAATACCCATCGTGGCTTGTTCCAGTACAACCGTCTGCCTTTTGGAGTTATGACTGCCCCATCTATCTGTTGGGGATGTTAGATCCCCAAAATTCGCTTGATAATGCCGTATTTTGGTTTTCACGTTTCACCAGCATGGGCTGATCAGATGACCTTGAGATTTCAATTCCCACCAGCAAAATCAATGGCTGTGATTGACTGCAGTGTATTTTAGTATGCTATCTTCTTAACTGTCTCAAGGACGTTGTTATGTTGTATAAATAAACGAGAGTTGTATGCTTGATTGTACTGGATTGCTGGGTGTTTGTAGAATATACTTTCTACGCTTACCAAGACTTCTGTTTTACCGTTTGGATTCAAGGTAGCCTTCCTGGAAGCTGGTAAAAGTCTCGTTCGCGTTTATCGACTAAGGTAAACTCGTAATAGCCTCAAGCATACTAGGTGACGAACTTATCAGTGGCGACGGGGCTCACAATTCACAATGTCAATTAATCTTGAACAGTTAGAATCTTTACTGGAACGTCAAGGTAAACGATATGAACAGTTCCAGGAACGTATGTCGGAGCTGTTAATGAAACAAATGAATTTGAATCACAGAGGTTTTGCCGATGATTCATATAATCCGCATACAGACTCGATAGTTAATTCCATTCATGAATTTCATTTTGATGGCCTTGCTGGTGTGACTTTCGAGTCTCGGTTTAAGAAGTATGAGGATTTGTTCAAGGTCGACCTCAACAATCTTGATGACGCCACCAAAGTCAGAATCCTTTTGAGAAAGCTCGGCACAATCGAACACGAACGTTATAGTAATTTCATCCTCCCAAAGAACCCACGAGATTTCTCTTTTGATGCTACAATTGATACGCTGTCGCAAATCTTCTCTGAACAGTCATCTCTCTTTAATATTCGTTATCAATGCCTCAAAATGATCAAGTCAAATGAAGATGACTGGGTAAAGCATGGTGGCTTAGTAAATCGTGAATGCGAACGATTTAAATTATCATCAATGACGGAAGATCAGTTTAAGTGCCTTGTGTTTGTGTGCAGCTTACAATCTCCCGACGATGCTGATATAAGAACCAGAATCCTAAGTAAAATTGAACAGTGCCCAAACATCTCGCTTCAAGAAATAACTGCAGAGTGCCAGAGATTAGTAAACTTGAAGCATGATACCTCCATGGTCGAAAACAATGGCCTCTCATCATACGTGCATTCCATTAGTGAAAAGAAAAATTCCAATTCGGCCCAAAAACCCAAAATGAATCCACCTTCTGCTTGCTGGCACTGCGGTTCATGGCACTATGTACGGAACTGCCCATTTAGGCAGCATAGATGCAGGAAGTGTAAAGTCATCGGTCATAAAGATGGCTTTTGCCTACAGAAAAAGCCAAAGCGATCCAGAAGTGCTAAGAAGCCTGTTCCTAGATCCAGTACCAATGCATTGAGCCTAATATCTTCCTGCCAAAGTTCATCACCAGGTGAGAGGAAATTTATTACTCTTAATATTAACGGTTATTTGTGTAGAATGCAAATAGATACTGCATCTGATGTCACTATCCTCTCACGCAAAAATTGGACCAAATTGGGCAGCCCAAGCCTGCAGCACACAACAACATCCGAGCTATCAAACTGATGCCCACTCCCACTAATGTTTCCGAATTACGATCTTTTCTCGGTTTGATCAGTTATTATTCAGCTTTTGTTCCCTCGATGCATGATATTCGCGCTCCATTGAATTGTCTATTGCAGAAGCATAGCACATGGAACTGGACTAAAGAGTGTGACGCGGCTTTTGGTAAACTCAAGTCTATAATTAGCTCGGAATTGTTATTAACACACT